GGGCAGAAAGTGAAGGCTCTTAGGCAGCCAGATTTCATACAATCGGACAGCGATTTTGATATTTAGCAGGGACCAATTGACAAGCGGCTAGAAGAAAGGGGGGCTGAATAAAGGTCAGAAGTCATGCGAACGACACCTGGAACCGGCGATAAAGATGAACGAGCTTCCCTAGACCTATTTGTAGCGACACACTCTTAGGCAACATTGGAGAAAATGAGAGCACGGAATTGTGTGATTAGGTATATAGGCCACATGAGGTAGGGTTGAGGGATACCACAACGGTTGAACAGAAAATTGGTTAAGTGGATTGCCTCCATTTGTCACTTCGATAAGTTGTAGCTCTGTGTTGACGATGGTACCTCTCACTGTCAATGCCGATTAAGATGCCAGCGAAACGTTTGGAAATGCATCAATTCAATGGTCTGATGCTGAAAATCACGAATAATGTGGCAGAGGACACAGGACTAGGTACGTTTCACGAGGTCTCCCATACGCTCCGACCAAATTGCCAAGATGAGGTCTACCAAGCCTTTAAACTGCGACCAAACAGGCCACAATATCTTGGTCGTCGTATATACAACGACTAGATTGTTTTTCTAAGAATATGTCAAACAACCTTATTTAATTAAGGGTATGAAGGCCAGGATGGTGTGGCCTTTTGCGTGGTCGCAGTCTCCTTTCGTTGTATAGAAGTTGTTTGACCTTGTTTTCGAAACTTGCTCATATTAGTAGGAAGATTTATAGGAACGCACCTTGTCCTGAGTCCAGGGAGACTCGTCAAAGAGACGAGTGTAAAAAACTGAGTAGGAATTATTTGTAGCTGTTGGATAGGTTTACGGAGACGAGTTGTAATATGGTGCTACGAATGGTAAAACTCACTGACGATACCGACTACGATGCAGGCGAAACGTTTGGGAATGTATCACCCCCACGGTCAAATGTACTCAGGACAAAGTTCGTTCCTATAAGTCTTCCTACCAATATGACCAAGTTGCGAAAACAAGGTCAATCAGCTTCTTATTTAATTAAGTTAAGATGAATCGTTTACCAGTAAGTTAGTTACTCAATCATTAAAAATATTTCACCTGCATGCGTAAGAAGGGAGGCACTCCATTTGCTAAATAACGAAGGCTTCTTTGGGGAGTGCTTTCCAGA